ATAATTTCATGATGTGCCATTAGTTCAGCTATGAAATAGTGAGATTTATTGATCACTGGGTCTGCATCTTTTTTCTATTTCAGTTTTCCTTTGCGCTATTGAAGTGTTACAATATGAAAACTTTTTCAAATTATTTTTCCTTTTGTAGTTTTCAGCACGCTTTAGCTTTAGAACTTTTGAATGATCACTTGAGGGATGGTCACACGGTACTGGATATTGGCTCCGGTTCCGGCTACTTGACGGTTTGCATGGCACTTATGGTAAGTGTTATCGTTTTTTACAATAAAAAATTCAAATATAAAAAACATGTAACTTTAATTTTGTGAAATTCAGTTTACTACTCGAAGCAAATTAGCTACCTGTCTGCAAAACCCTAAAGTTTTATGAATTTTGCTGTGAAATGCTTAGTACTATGAATTATTATAAGTTTCTGTTTGTTATTACTTTGTTATACATATGCTAAAATCAATCGATTTTGAGGTTGGTAGAAAAGGAAGAGTGATTGGCATTGATCACATCAAGGAACTTATAGATCTTTCGATCAATAACATTAATAAGCACCATAGCGATCTGCTTATGGATAGACGAATAACAATGGTTACAGGCGATGGTCGTAATGGATACAGAGCTGGTGCTCCATATATGGCTATTCATGTTGGTGCTGCTGCACCGAAACTTCCTGATATAGTAAGTTGATTATGATATATGCAGTTTAATACGAAATTCGCTTTGGTTTGTTTTGTCACCAGACTCATTTTTAAAGGAAAATATTGTTCGTATTTGGTGAGGTAATTATTTTTAATTGTAACAAAATTGATTGGCTTGAATATTCTCATATTGAGAGATCCGCATATAATATGCACTAACTGTTTTCAATGTATCAGAAGCTCAAGCACACAAGAATACACTGCTTCATGTTAAGCAAGATGGTTCATTCTAGTTACCTTTGATTATTTCAAATCTACCAACAAAAACTGAAAGATTTGGAACTTTCAGTTGGTGGAACAGCTTGCTCCAGGTGGTCGGATGATCATTCCAGTAGGTGAAGTTTTCAGTGATCAGCATTTTGTTCAGGTTGATAAAGATTTAAATGGTAATGTAAAAATTGAAGAATTATTTGATGTTCTATTTGTCCCTCTTACAGACAGAAAATATCAACTTGGCCATTTAAATTAGATAACTTCCTTTATAAGTTTGATTAACAATATATGTTCCGTATAGATGGATTAATTGGATTGTAATTATAAATAAAAGCCTTTGTCGATTCATTAGATTTTTTAAGGAGGCAACCAGGCTCTATCAAGTCATCTTCTATTATATTAAGTTGTATGTTCCATGACTTCTTAAGATTACATCCTAATTCATTTATCTTTTCAGCTTTGTTTTCATCTAATTCTTCAACCTTTCAGCTCAATGATTTCCTTAATTAAATTATTGTGTATTTATATATTGATGTGCTGGTGTAGCGATCTTTCATTACTTGTACTTAAATATTTTTATAATGAACCCGATCTGCTTTTATGAAACTATAATTAAAAACTGATGAATCTTCAAAGTGGTGTTTAATTTCCGTTAACCGCGAATAAATCCTATGCTCTTCTCTTTTTAAGTGTTGTAACCATGTTTTCGCTGCCGTTTCTGAAGACACTGACTATTTCGCAAATGTTCTTACTGCAGTTTCTCAAAGATCATTTCTACTTTATCAAATGTTAGAAAATAAAGTTCTCAGATTTTCTTTCTCTCCAGATGACTAAATTGTCGATACAGATGTTTTACTTATAAGCAGTTACATATTCGAAATTGAAATGTCAATTAGTTACATATTCGAAATTGAGATGAAAATTGAAACGAAATTGAAGTGTAAAGTATTTCCCAGTTAGGAGATTTATGCTAGGTAGAAACTTGGAGGAGTCAGTTTTGTGAGGCATCATGGACTAAGCTTTCTGTTGATACAAAGTAACTATTAACAGAAGAGGAATGATAGTGATCCATGCGAAGTCTTTTTTTTATAGTCTGTTGTGAGACGAATCTGTGAAGAGCAGAGACTGAACAATATTGGCACTGTTTTTGAAAAGAAGTATGGCATGGCGTTCGCACGGTGAATCAAATGCCTCACTGGTAGAGAATTTACGTAGTTAGTTGTTTGAAGTTTTTTTTGAAATGAAATTCGAGAAATTAAGAGTTATATTGACTAGTTATTAACTTTTCGCTGTTTGTTCTGAACATTTGTGATGCCATCTGCATTGCGTATGAAACTTTTATTTGAACCATTTTTGATCTATTATTCAAGGTTGTCACGAAACACGGTACTTTTGCTTCACTGATTCACATGAAGCTGTTAGATTTCGAAACTGGGATGTGAAGGGATTTGGTCATTACAAGGAGATCTGAGTTAAAATGAAGTATAGAAACTACTACAAACAAATTACAACAAATGTATTTTCAGGGAATGGCTTATTCAAAGATGAGCGAGTTAAAATGACCATGTTGAGAGTTGATCGAGCTGATTTTTGTCCTCGAAATCCGTATCTGGACAATCCGGAACCAATCGGTTGTAATGCAACAATAAGTGCTCCTCATATGGTTGGTTTATCTTTTATCAGGTATCAAATGAATTGTAATAGAAGATAAAATAAGTCATACTATAATAAGAGTCCATAGTTTCTCATAAATGAGGGATCATAGTCATTTGTTGAAATAGCCATTATAAGCAAATGATAAAAACCAAATTAGTGCTTAGACAATTTATGTTGTGTTTATTCGCTGATATATTAATCCTTTCTTTACTTTACTGCTTACTGAAATCACTTAATATATTAGTATGTGTTTCAGCATGCTGCTGCGCTTGAACGACTCAAAGATCATTTGACAGAAGGTGATAAAGCACTTGATATTGGTTCCGGTTCTGGTTATCTAACAACATGCATGGCATACATGGTGATGATGTTAATGCGCTTTGAAGTTTCTAGTTATTAGGATGAATATTTTGATTTAGATTTTACAATTCGTTGGTACTTATCATTTCATAGATAGGCAAATATGTAATCATTGTTGTTGTGCTATCATCACTTTTTTTAAGTCTTGGCTTTATAACTAGGCTAGAAAAATTCGGTGTCTGATAAACTGTATAATGTTTCTTTCCAGGTTGGTGCAAGTGGTAAAGTCGTTGGAGTGGAACACATTAGACAGCTAGTGGATTTATCAATCACAAATATTAAAAAAAATCACGCGAATCTTCTGGAAGGAAGAGTACTAATCGTTGAAGGTGATGGGCGCAAAGGCTATCCTCAGTACGCACCTTATAAGGCAATCCATGTCGGAGCTGCGGCACCAAATGTTCCTGATGAGGTTTTTTTACATCTCGCGTGATTTGGCAATTTATCTAAATCGATAATAAAGCATTATTTTATTTGGTTCCATATTTTTGCTTTTACTTCTTTTTTTAAATGGTTGTATTGGCTTAACCAAGGTAGCTGACTTACCAACTAATTAGCATAACTTTCCACCGATACTTTTTTGTTACTAATGGAGATTTCATTTCAGTTATTGAGTCAGTTAGCTGCAGGAGGACGAATGTTGATACCGGTTGGTGCAGCACATAGTGATCAGCGCTTTTTACAAGTGGATAAAGACGGTAAAGGTAAAGTTACGGTGAACGATCTGATGGGTGTAATTTATGTGCCGCTCACTAACAAAGAGAACCAAATTGGACGGGATCAATAACAAATTCTTTTTTTAGTCCGTAGTTTAGACATTGGTCAACTGGGGTAGTTGATATCAAATTCTGCAGAGCTATTAGAAAAGATATATATTTATATATATATATATATGTATGCGGTTTGGAAGATAAGACAAAGCATTCTCTGGAAAGTCATTAACAGTATTGATTTTTGCTTTAATTGTTGCTTTGTGAAATTTTGGGAGATCCTGACTTGTAATTTATTTGCATACAACATGTTACTTCGCACGGTTTGACAGCAGAAGTACATGTATGAATGTATCCATTTATTGCTTATGTCAAAGTTGTCTTTATATCATCGGATGCTTATGTAATCTATGTTTAGCTTATACATAATATTAGGGTTTACTTTCTTTTCGTCGAGTGTATGGAATTGAGTGCAAAATAAATGACTTCAATTACGTTTAAAAACGAACTGGAAACTGCGGTTTCATTTCCTGGATGAAAATAAATCTGTAAATTTAACTGGGAAATTTTTAGTCCAGGAAACTGTACTTTAGTTTTCCTTTAGATTTATTTCAATCATTAAGTACCGATAACGTCCTTGCTTAAGCATCTACATTTCCTCTAGTCCGGCATTTGCTCAGATTTATAGAGAACTAAGAAAATATTGATCTTGGAAACAAATTAGTTGAACTACCATAATTTTTGCATATCAGATTATGCTTATATGGTGATGTCTGAGCACTGTGAATATAGCAGGTGGGGCTGAGCTGGTCATATTATTTGCTATAGTTTTCCTTGTCATGACAGTCATTTCCAGAAATTTTTGTAGTCTTCAATCTTCGCCTTTTCCTTCCTTGCTATTTAGAATTTGCAGTTGTTGTTTGTATAGATTTTTGCTTGTCAAACTATTTTGAAGGCTGTTTTCCAAATGTTTTCAGGTATACAGTAATTACGAGCCACAATTTCTCATGTTATTTCCTGTAAAAACGCCTTCTGGAAACACCACTGACTTCTAAAGGATAAATAAAGAATTTACACTTATCTTAATGAAGAATTTGCATGCATACATATGAAACAGTGCGAATTAAATCGAGACCATACTTTGCTTCAATCAGCTTCGATTGAGAGGACAACAAAATGCATCAAAAAGCTTGTGAGATTTTCTTGGTAATCTGAAAAAAAGTACTGTTTTAGTCAAAGCATGGGAAGGAATTCTTGGTATCAGTGTTATAATCAAAGCAGATAACCTTAATTAATTTTCTGCTAGTAACTTACAAGAACAAATGAAATGAAAAAGAAGATTCAGTGTCCGTGTTTATATTTCTTCCATTTCCTCGTCCTCACATTTCTTCACATCGCGAGGTCGTACAAATACCCCATGATTATTTTGGCAAGTGAAATATCTGCACATTTGCAAATTAGAAAAATTCCGCTTACGATATTGAAATTATGTGATTTTCAAGACAGAAGGATGTGTTTTTCTGCAGGAAGCCAATTGCTAAAAAAAATAAAATATCAACCTTTCACCATCAATACTTCCGTCGTGCTTACCAAACGGTTCATCATATGTGACACCAATCCAACAACCATCTTTAAATTTTGTTGATCCTATGTAGGATACGATTCCTTTTCGCTCTTTCTGATTCGATACATGTACCACACAACGATCACCAATCTTGAACTTATATTATCAAAGCTATTCCCTTTTTTACTTGAATATTTCCGATATACAGATATGCTTTTCTCTATTCGTCAGTCGTTCGACTCATCCACATTTATGATATAACATGTATTCTAATGTAATATTCAGGCTATAAAAGAAACATATGAAAAACACGTGACTCATATGATTTTACTTTTACTAAATAGTGCAGACCGCTAGTGCATTTATTAATTAAGATGATTCTCCAATATTAACTAAAATGAATGAAGTGTAGAAAACCTTGAATTGCTTTGCTTCGTTTTCGGCTGCAGCAAGTGCATTATACTTTATTTTCAAACGTCGCTTCCACGCACGCACCGAGTCTAAACAAAAATGGTGGTAACTTCAACGAGAGTAAAAAAATTTTCCGACCACAACAAAAATAAAAACTGGTCACCTTCGCGCTCGTTATACTTTTCCTCAGGTATTGTGTATTTTTCAACTGCCGAAACATTTTCATAATTGACAGGATTGCCAGCAGATGTGAACGTAACATGAATTTTCATTCCAGAAAATAATAGTTATGAGAGGTTGTCAAGAAACAAAAAAATTTGATATAATCAATTTCGTAAACAGGATGTGAAAAAAGAAAAAATTTCCTTCTTTTGAAAACTGTAGTAGTAAATATACGCTGACATACCGTCAGTTACGCCTAATTTCTCTAGTGTAGCCTGATCATCAGTCAACGATGATATAAATTCCCCATTCCTGTCACGCAAATCTGTTCGCATGCACTCAATCGAACCACCAACAACTAACACTAATTTTTCCTGAAAAGAAGAAAGCAATAGGATCCTAAAGATAACATTTTGTAAAAATTTCCTTTTGTAATGCAATTTAACTGTTTATTTCCGATTTTGATTCTGGAATTACTCGAGATAAGAAATGACTCTACACAGAGTGTCATGACCTAGGAAATGGAATCAAGTGAAAACAACGAAATCGTTTTCATCACGGAGATGGTCGCCCTTATCGTGTAGTCAAGCTACCCAGATAATCAGTTTTTGAAAATAACAAGCAAAACGAACTTTCAGTTCGAGAAGGGTTATAGAAGAGGGATATCGCTTCTCGTATGGGTATTGTCGTGAGTCAGAAGTGACTGTCAGGTTAATGATTTTAGTTGCCATTTTAAATTCTGAAAAAGGTATAACTGAGTGTCGTGTTCTTCATGGATTATCACTCTGCCGAATATCATATCGAAAATCGACCCTATGAAATATACTTCACTAAGGTGATGCAAATCATCTGCGAGACTTTACCATAAACAGGAAGAATATTACTCAACTTTGAAGACAACACACTGAAAAATTTCTCCCTCTTTGTCCTCCTATAAAAAAAATATGAATGGTGAAAGGTCGCAAGAAAAGGTCAACATTGTCCAGTAGCTACTGCAATCTCACCACCATGACAATACAAAAGGAGATGATAACTTGAAATATTGTTGAACTGAAGAGAACAACAGGGAAAATTAATATCATAGAAGAGAGAGAGAGTTCTGAGAAGGAGACGAAGAAAGAGCACGGAACCCGACATTAATAATGTAAGTGAACAAGTGTGCAAGGAATGGAATATCCCTCGTCCTCGTCACTTTCAGTAATTCAGCTCTTTCCCTGCTTGTTTCGCACACTATCGATGAAGTGCCTATTCATCGTCCTTCTGATCTGACGTAGATGGGTAGGTAAACTAGGTGAGGGATAGAATATAGAAATGCTTGGTAAGATGTATTTGAGTGCTGAATAGAGATGAGTGATATCACATATGACAAGTGACAAAATTAAGGGTTCTGATATGCGGGCCACTAATATTTATTATTGAAAGTAGTTTTTTTCAGTACTAATAGCCAAATGTGTGGTTTTCCCTGTAAACCTATTGATCTGCAAAGAAGAAAATTTTATTAAAAGCGAAAAACGATGTTAAGTTGTAGTTTATAGAGAGAGCAACATTGGTAGATGCAAAAAGTCCTTGTATGGTAAGGTCCACGCAAGGGCGAAGCGTGAAAAGCTTACGATCCTAATTTTTGGTAAATACCGTCTGGTTGTTGGTAATATTTATAGTGTTTTAAACGCTTACTCAACCGGAACATACATTTTGAGAGCCAGAGAGATAACTGACTGCACTCGGGATAAGAGTGTCCGAGATGTGTCCGACAAATAATTTTGAAATTATCTGCCAAATTTGTATGAACGATCTTTTTTCGTTTTGATCGATTCTAAAATAAAATTAAGATGTGTTTTACTTTACTGCAGACGGTTCAGATTTCGAATCATTTATTTTGGAATACACTATCATTCGCTTTGTGATGTTGAAAGAAGCAGTAGATGATGAGAGAGTCAGAATATGTTGTATGAATTCCAAGGCCATTTTCTTGTGAGTACCGTCTCACCAGATTTCAGTAAGCAGACATTTGCGATGATCGATGAGTCACTCTAAAGATCGTTCATGCAGTACTATGCATCTCTAGATGTGTTGTCCGTTTATGGTGACCTTTAGTCTGTCTTGTTCAGTGCTGTGATAACCAACTGATGTGAGACAGAGAGAAGCGTTCGAAGTCTCTACATGCATTTTCAGAGATAGTAACACTTATTATCCGCTCTCGAATTTATGCAAAAATGCTTGCGGGGCTTCATTTTAGCTGCCTTTTGTATTTGTGGTTGCGATCTGCAAAGGTTAAAAGTGCTTTCTAGTTGAAATTCAAATACCATTCAGAATCTCATTCGACAGAGTAATATTGGCGAGGTTAGGTTGGTGAAAGCAACAATAGCTATTCTCCTATATCACTTCTCATCAATGATTTTCTCAGTTCATCACTACTCCATTGGATGTTCTTAATGAAATACTTACGTTTACTTTGTTACATCATGCGACGTAAATAATAGTGAATAGTAGTCTCCGATGATAGGGAAAAGTGAACATTCAGTTCATCCAATACGTCTTTCAGTGAAAATATATCAGTGGATAGATAGATGTATAGGTGGATGGATGGACACATGTACATACATACATACAACACACACATACACACACACACACACACACGCATCGTTGAACTTCTCCATTTATTTAATTTCGCATCCCTGTCGTTTAACTCTCTCCTTCAGTGTGATCAGCGTCAATCTTTCATTTGTTACTACCAACCACGCTAACATTTTTCGTACTCTTTTATCATCATCTTTCTTGTCCCTTTCTCGCTCCATACCACATATTGCAGAAAAGAGCAAGAATGCCATGAATATGTTGGTTGTTGTGTCCCTGAAGTGGTGAATTGATTGAGGATGCTTTGTCATTTGTTAGGCATTACTGTCATCTGACGCACTTTTAAAAGATTATTGGTAGAGAGAAATGGAGTAATGGGATCGATAAGTAAAATGTCCATTTCCAATACTGTCATTGATAGTGTTTGTAATTGTCAATGTTAATCAGATTTTCAAATGTAAATGTGGTTAAAGTTGTTACAAATTCTTTGAATTTCACATTTCATTTTTGTTCTCATCTATGTTTCAATTTTGTTAACTTTTTTCTCCGACACAAGTCATTGCAGGAGTTCAGTTTAATGTCATCTGCACTGTATAATCAAATAATTTGCAGATTTTGTATAGACGATCTTTTGCTATTGCTCAGCATCATTTTAAGCAGCTGAAAAATGATCCTGTTAGTTGCACTCTCACAATCTAGCTATTCATCATCTTCACATGGACGGGAGCTTGATGATCGAACATGTGACGTCTTCTCAACTTCATTGTCCTCGTTGAATAGTAATACTTATGTCCGTTCGTTCCCTTCTTCCGGTAACAGCAGTTTGTCTACCGAGCTGGAACAATCGTGGTTCGTTCTTTCTCGAGTCCTTTTTTTTGCAAATAAAGACTACTGTGCTTTCTTCGTTGTTGGGAGGAGGTTGGATCGGGAGGTTTTGACCGATCTATAGCTTTTTTATTTACAGTGTAGATTATTCGGCGTTGGAAATGGACTCGGAAAATGATGCTTGTTTGAACAGCTCTTGTATTCATTCCGATGGATCTTCTGGTTTTAATGCAAGGTTTTTTTTGTTCGAATTATTTCAAAGTGCATATTTTCCCTATCAGTTCTTCTAGAACGGACATGGGTGATTGCCACAAACTTCAAATATTCCCATTTGGGCAATTTTTCTTTGTTATTGCTCATCCCGTTCACCTGATTCCTTCTTTTTTTCAGCTCAATTTTGCCGTTGATGAACGAGTCGGTTAGTTTGAACGAACGTCGGCGAGCAATTCTCGATCTTTCTATCTCAAAAATTCAGACAATGAACGCGTCAAACGTTGCAGTATCTCTGCGCAAGTCACTCCTTATCTATAATACGATGAAATCTCTGCAGGTTCATTTTTATGTAATTTGTTCGGTGTTTTCGTGATGCTGCTCAGTCAATTCTAGCATGAAATGATTATTTAGAATTGTATTATTGTCATTATTATTTATCAATTTATTATTGTCATTATTTTTGTTACTACTAATTATTGGTATTTATTACCAATTACTATTTATTATATTGTTGAATAGTGTCAAGTTCATTTAAAAACGCTTCAGCATTGTGAGTTTCTTTATAGCGAGATCTTGATACATGTGACGTTTTTTTGTGCGATAGTCTGACAGAGAGAGGAAACGAAGCAATCGATAATGATGTGGAAATGCTGGAGGCAAATGAATTTGAAGACGGAAACTGGGAAGAGCAGATCTCAGATTTCAATTGTAGTATCAGCAGCGACAATAATCCGTGCAGTCTGGGTTATGATTGGCCATGGGGAACTCTAGTTAATACAAGTGAAAATACGGTGCAGGTATAGTTGTCCAACATGATGTTTATGCCTTTTTGTACTTATTACCAGTATCAAGTGAATTCCGTAACTAGTGTAAGTAGATGTTAGTAAAATGACGGAAGGAAAAGTTTAATTTTAATGGTCTTTGGCCATTAAAAATAATCGCTTTTCTTTTTGTTCTTTTTGAAGAATATCTAATGTTATTGATAAAAGTAGCTGATAAGCATTAGAATTGTTAAATATTCGAACAGTTTTTGGTCAAAGATTTCTACGCATAGGTAGTTGATGTCGCTTATTAAAACTTCGGATGATCATTTGTATTTAAACATTATCCTGGATATATTTCATGAAATTGCCTTCGATTGAAATTTGATGAAGCATGTAAATAAAGACATTGGATATGTCTCTTCTTCTTTGTATTTCATTTTTAAGAACTCTAAAGTACAAAAAATTCTATTCGGAATCTCACATTATTATGGATTGGTAAATTATCAAAAACACAATTTCAGGGTTCGGAAAAATGTGATCATAATTTGTTTACTTTGACGAGCAACAGCGACTTGTTTAGCACGGGGAACAGCTGGAGCAATTCGGAGTCGACGGATTCGTCTGCATTCGTCGACGATTATTTGGAAATGTTGTGTGCTTGGGAAGATGAAAATTACAATCCACTCACCAACTGCAATCTGACACGAGCGGAAATAATGAACATGTTTCACTTGCCTTCATATCATCTCAACAATCAGTTAGTCTCTCAGGCCTGAATTCTTCATTTGGTTCCACATACATGATTTTTGGGAATTGGTTATATTTATAGGTTGTATTGATCTTTCTTATTTCTAAACATCCTAGATTTTATTGTATTTAGTTCCATTTTCCAGCTGAGGAGCTCATTCCATTGTTCTATCAGACTAAATTCTGTCCAGTGAATATTTTTTTTATGTTTTGATTTATTATAAACTCGTATCATTACTCTATTCCCCGCTTATTGCAATCTCGCTGTTGTATATTGATTTACAGGTGTTAAGATCTCGTTTGCAGAATCGATTGGCGAATAAGTAGGTAAATGATGAAAAGCATTTTTTTTCTCCTGAAGAAAAAGTTTTTTTTTTTATATGAAATTTCTAAGCACACATATTATGCAGACCGATCTGTGCACATCGATGCCTTGACTTGCATTTTTGTTGTGTTTGAAATCAGTTTTATCCTATTCTCTTACCTTCTCATGATATAAAATTTTTAGGGAATTTCTACGGACGAATTTCAATGAATACGTTTTTTTCCTTTTTCTTTAATTTAAAAGTTATGTTTAGACATACTTCCGTTTTTCACCTTTTCTGTCATTAGGCTTCCCTTGTGACTTGTGCTTCTTTTCGTTTCCTCAAGTCTGTTCATTAGACCTGTAGAAAAGTCTTTGCGGTAAAAAGACGGGATCAAATGACTAACTGACTGGTTATGCTGCTATCACCGAAGATGATTTCCTTTCATTTCAGAGATCACGTTGGTTCTTTTTTTTGGGTGAAATTTTTGTAATTAGTGTAAGAAAGCATCATACAGGCTCACTTCAGCTCTTCGTGTTTTTCTGTTGCTTCACCACACTGCTCTACATAATTTTATTTATTTAGGTTGTTTTATCTTCTGCAATCATAATTTAACAATTTTAGTTCACAGTTTTTGTGTTCCATTCATTTCCATTATTTTATCAAAAATATGGAAATTGCTGTGGGAGAAGGTTTTAAAATATTTGTTCATATTTTGGGGTTTCTCTGATTCAAAAAGTGCGTTTGCTTAAAACGTTGAGTACTGAGTACATTTTAACTAGTTATTATGATATTTTGTGTAATGCTGTTTAATGAATAGTAAGTAGCATGACATGAGCTTTTGATTTCGTTTGATGTTTCACTGTGCGTTCCAGTGCAGTAAAATTCTTTTATTAACTAGATGAAAGGATTGTATCTGTTACTATTCAAGTATATAAAACTGGAAATTTTCTTTACTGTTTTAGTAAAAAATTGAAAAATTAGTTTTTATTGGTGGGCATCTCATTAGCTGTGCTTATTAAACTGTCGGCTATGTGTTTTGCATTACGCATTTTATTTGCTTTTTGTTTCTTAAAGTTAGGCACATTATAAGAGTCTTCATCTGTCCCTCTTTCATGCCTCTAATTTTTTGTGGAAATGTGGAGTTTAGCAAAAAACATCTCCGTGGTTAAACTGAACATATTTCTTGTCATCTTTGCATTCATTTGTAGTGTGGGATGAACTTTGAATTAGGTCATTCTCATCCTTTGCAGTCATTATGTTTTATCCAGGAAATTTATTTTTCCATCCAAATTCTTACTTCTTCGAACTTTAATAATCGGATCCAAATCTCCACTTGATTTTTTATTTGTAGCAATAAAAGCGAGTTTTGGTGCAGCTTTATTATACATTCATTTCTCATTAATTTATTCATTTATTTTTTCTGTTCTAGGTTTGTTTTATTCCATTCCATATATTATATTGTTTTACAAAGTGTTATCAGTTCATTTTTCATTTGGTATCGCAATTAGCTGTTGTGGTTTGGAATGAAAATTTCGTTTATTTCCTCTTTTTCAATCCCATTAGGATTGCCAAAGAGGACTTCTTTTCCTAAGTTTTTTTTTTTTGTTTTATGGCTAATATGTGTAGTAGATAACTTACTGAATAATCATTGTGATATTGTATGTGTTTTGAGATGTATAATGGTCAAATACTCAATGTATGTATAAGTTTGCTGCACTAATAATTTATTCCCTTACTGATTCCCCATTATTGCTTGTAGTAAAGTATTTTGCATTCATCACAGTTCTTTTATTAACTTGTTCAAATAATAGTTCGAACATAACTTCAAAGAAAACCATTTTTTCCACTGTGAATTCCCTACTGTTTATCCCCTTTGAGTTTAAGCCTTGTCTGCAAGGGGTCAAAATCATATATATATATCCATTTGTACTTTTCTGTCAGGTCCAGGTATATTGATGTCTCGTTCTCTCCTTAAATTTCTTATCGATTGATCATTAATTTAAGCGTCGTATACATTATTTTTGAATCTTTGAAATTTTGAAACTTTGAAATAACTCCAGTTCAAATTTTTACTTTTAGCAAGATAAATAAGAAGTGAAAGAGCTTATCATCCATTACTAGTTGTAAGTCTATATTGTCGGCGTATAATTATAAAGTTGTAATTTTGTAATAAAATGAGAAAAGCTTTTTTATTGTTATTCTGAATCCAGACTTGGTTTTTTTTTTTTTTTTCAATGTACTCGTTTTAATTAGACGTCATTTGACTTCCGAATGACCTCCTCATTGTTTTAATATTCTGACATTCATATTGTATGCAATGTAATTGTGAGTTCTTTCGTCCTTCCCACAATATTTCAAATGTCGATTGGTCGCACTAGTTTGCACTTTACTTTCAGTAAGGGTAATATTTCCTTATGTATTCCTGTATCATACATTCATATATTTATAAGTACTTCTAGGTAATATTACTAAACTTTAAATTTACAATAATTTTCTGTCGCATTGTACATTCAGTTGTGAAGTCCATTAAATTCAACTTTTCGTTCTAACCTCTCTTTAATTCCAATTGAGAAATGATCTATTATTTTGGCCTTTGTTAATTAATGTTTATTATTTTTGCAGTAATTAATTGTATACATTTTTCTTTGTGATTTTCACTTTTTGAATGAAAGTAAAACAGTTTGAATTTTGAAATAGTTGGTTCCGTTTGTGTGTATAATACACAACAGTATGAAATCTCACCAGTATTTCTGTGGTCATAAAATGTCATTTGTAAAGTGGAATGGGAGGGGGTTAGTGTTTGATTGGGTCTGCGAAGAATTGAATCTAATTTTTGGTCCTTCTGAAGCGATCGATTTTTTCACCGACAGGTTGCTAGACATTATTTCTGGTAGGAGGTTTATGATTTTCTTATCATCGGTTTTGATGATGATGTGTAAAACAGCGCGATGCAGTTGAAATGCTTCGTATTGCTGAAGAAGGGTTTGTGGGCAACTTTATTGCACATTTGGGTTCACTTGGTTAAGGTATTAGTCCACCAGTGGCACCATCTCTTTTCGGAGTGAGATTGGTGTTGGCTTATGTTATCCTTTTGGTAGTATAGAGTAGGAGCGGTAGTAAGAAAACGAATGAAGATAGAACTGAACCGTTAAGTACATTTGGATCTATTATCTTCCTTCAGCAAATGTATTTCATGTTTAAATGCAAATTCATGTAAAGCAAAAATGTCGAGTTTTTGATTGTAGACTGGAGATGTCTGTCTGTATACATTCATGTATGTTTTTACATTTTGTTGCAGGGTAATTCTTAATCAGTTGATTTGTTGAAGGAAGGTTAAACTAGTTGGCAATACCATATACCTGTTCTAAACTTTCCGTTGGTCGCGCATTCTTTGGTATAGCGCAGTCATCTTGAACTTTGATCTTTCGAATAAAAAATTTGATTGCTGATAAAAATTGTTGGGAGGGCTCATAAAATCTATAATAAAATGCTTCACAACTACTGAAGTCATTTTTCAACTCAGTTCAATGCTTTTTCCAGAAAACTTACCTTTTTCTAGGTAAGAAGGATGTCACGTTACGATATTGTCTTATACGGTGCCAGCGGTTTCACTGGGGCTTACGTTCTTAAATTATTGCTTGAAGAACAGAAACAACACAATGTGAGCTTTGCTATAGCAGGGCGTAGTGAAGTTCGGTTAAAGAAACTGCTCCAAAATATAAGTCAAGAATTGGGTAAGTCATTTCGTGAAAACTTTCTACTCTTTCAACAAAATGTTAGTAATACCCAAATTTTTTTTTACATCATACTGATTAAGAAGATTAACAGTTCAATAATTTTTCAAAAATTATCCCAGAAACGGTTACATTAGTGTGCTAAGATAGTTCGATTGTCTTCGAATAAAAATAAGAAGAAAAGAAAATTCTTTTCTTATGAAAAATATGAAAGCCTGTGGTACATGGGATGACGAAAATCTTTAGGCAAAGATTTGCAAAATGTTTCTATAATTACTGCCAACAGTTATGATGAATCTACACTCGCAGCAATGGCGAATCAAGCAAAGGTCATCATAAATGTCGTTGGTCCTGTAAGTTGCATTATATCATTTAACAGTTTTTTAATCTCCATGATTTTTTGAAATGAGCGACAGAAACTTTAGCGCAGTCATTTTCATACTTCGAACTTTAATTTTTTCCATTCTATATTTTCATATTTTATTTCAAGTAATTTTCTTTCGTTGCAGTATCGATTGTATGGAGAAGCAGTTGTAAAGGCTGCTGTGGAAAATGGTGCTAGCTATGTAGACATTTCGGGAGAACCTGCGGTAGTAATTTTTGTACTTGAAGTTTGAATTTTATTCTTCAAAAATTGAATTTTATTGGGAATATTTTCCATACTGTTTAATTAACTTTTGTGAATTTATCTGGTTTTATTGTAGTTCTTGGAGTCGATGCAAATGAAATATGGTAATATTGCTCAAGAAAAAGGTCTATATGTTGTTGGTGCATGTGGTTGGGATAGTATTCCTTGTGATTTGGGTGTTAATTTCCTGAAAGAGAAATTCAGCGGTCAGCTGAATCATGTTGAAACATTCGTCCAACTAAATACAGGACCTGCGGTATGATGCTATGCATTCATCATTCGTTTTTCCCTCAAATAATGAGAAGCTTATAATCGTTTCGTTAGACTTCATCTTTTTGAATTTTGATTATTACTTTTTAACTTTTGCTCCCACGAAAGTTATTTTATTACATTTTAATGTCATGTATGCAAATGTAAATATGTCTTATTAACTTAGGGAATGAGAGGAATAAATTTTTAGGGTTATTCATTCAATGCGGGCACATATCGCACTTTAGTTTTGGGCATGGCAAATATGATGACTGATGGCTTGGGTAAAATAAGACGAAGTATCATGCCAGAACGCTTACCAAGAAGCTCGTTCCGAGCACCGAAGAGGTTTGATACGCAATATATCAAAATCAAATCAAAGCATTATATGTTTTAATTGCGTTTATTTTTCAGAGGAACTTTTTGGTTTAATGAGAAGGTTGATGGTTGGTGTCTTCCGTTTTACGGATCAGATAAAAGTGTCGTTACTCGATCTCAATATTTTGACTATAAGCTCCGCACTGTTTTACCAGTAAGTGATTTCCTTTCTTCTTTCCACTGGCAACATTTATGGTGAATTCAAAGAGCTTGCTTATTACCTGGGATATAAAATGTGGTAAATTATGCAGATATTTTGCATATTAGGAAATATGCTTTTTTCTGGAATTTTGTTTTTCACAAGGGATTTTTTTGCATTCATTAGGTACTGCTATTAGTAAGGAACTTAGGGAGAACATATTTTACTTCGATAGCAGTATTATTTGTTATTAACGCAGCAATATTCTAAGGAAAAATCGAATTCTACATATTTAAAAGTGGAGACAAGAAAATTACCGTTGTTTGCGTGTGCATTCTTCAAAAGTAATTTATCTGTTTATTTATTTCTTCTCTTTTTGTTGCAGTGAGTCATCCAAAATTCCTTCGGCGCATTTCAGTTGTCTATGATTTTTAAACAAAATTTGCAGAACAGGAAGCAGTGAAAGTTTATTTTATAGCAGTAATGAAGACATTTTTTTTTGCTATTTGTTACAATAAGTAGCGAGCAGTTTATCAATAGTACTTTTTATTATGTATTATTGAATGTGAGAGGGAATTTAGTACCTGTGTTATGTTTTTCGGACACAAGGAAGACAAAAAGTTTTGAGAAAAATAAAGTAAAGCGGGTACGATAAAATGTTTAGTTTACAATGGAAATTAGCATATTGAAAGGTAGATATTTAATACTATGATTTATAAAGATATGAATAAGAAGGGAAAAGTTCCAAATCTGAAATGACATCGATTTGCAATACTTTGACAGTGTCTGCTATTACTGCTTATTTAGCTGGGAAAGTACTATAGTAGTATTGGATGAATATCATCTGTGATGTTTTTGAAATGAAAGAGAAAACATTGCGTATTTATATCTTTCAACGCATTGCACATTTCTATCATAAATTAGCAGAGAAATTCCATAGCGGAGAAGAGTGAAAAGGATGGGAGTAAATTGTACTGTTTAATAATATTATTAGTAATTATATGATGTGGAATCACTATCATCGATTTAAGGATATAGGAAATAGGGGTTGAAAATGGCCTTTTGCGTATATTTCTTTTTTCTTATTTTAAATTATAGTTGTATTTTTTCTTAAAAAGAAATCAGCTTTTTCATTTATTGAAATGTGTCGTTTTCTATCTTTTCTAAGTATTTTTTTTTCTTTGTGGAAAGATAGAAAAAGGTGATTTGAACGGTATCTCCTGTATGATTTAGAAAAAGATAAATAACGAAAAATCAAAAACTTTTTTGCAGTCTCTAAGTTTCTTATAGACGAAAAATTTAAAGATTGTGAATTTTACATGAAAGGAATGACGGAATAAAAGAAACTGGATTCCATTTTCTTCTCTAGAAGAAATTTATTCAAAATTTTCGAATAAACCTCTAGAAGAATATATATATATATATTTATATATAGACTCGTTTTTGGGAACTTGGATTTTTTTTTTCGAGTTCCACTTTTTTCCTTTGATATTCTGGATGTGTGAAACTAGAGCTTGATGTAGTGAAAACTTATTAACTAAGTTTTACAAGTTACTATTTATGTTAATCAATATTAGATATGGAGTTTTTCCAGATATAGCACCGGATTCATGTGAGTTCAAAAGCAATATTTGTTGACGTACATGATCAAACGAGCTACGGACATATGTATTTATATCTGTCAATTGCAGATTGTTGAAGAATGCAAATGACACAATCAAAATTGCAATTAACAATTATCTTTCTGTTGTTGTGATGTGGTTTTTGTTAATGCAATATTCAACTTCAAGATTCATTGTAATACGTTTCAGGTCCAAGTGGAAACATTTATTCGAGTCAAATCGTTTATTTGGGCTTGTCTACTTTCTCTATGGCTTGTTGTTTTTTCCGCTGCTGCCAAAATGTCATTTATGAAAAATTTTTTGCTGGCATATCCAGGATTATGCAGTTTTGGCATGTTCAAGGATTCGGGACCTACAGCTGAACAGGAAAAATCAATTTCCAGACTTGAATTTTGATATTTTCAATATTAATTCAATTATTGCCGTTTAAATATTAATCAGTAACAATTATTTAGCAATTTTTTACTTATTGTAATGTGCAGTTAATTTCGTACGTAGTGGCTCAGTGAATCTTCGTGAGAAAGAGATATGGTAATACAGTGTTTTGAATTTCAGGTTAAGCAAGCATCGTTTACTTACTGGTTCTTTGGTACTGGTTGGTCAGAAAGGCATAGCTCTTTTGATGAGTACACTGTTAAACCAACTAAACAGGTAGCGAGATTGAATTCTGCAGTACTGTTTTGCTTTGTGTATCTGAGCAGGAAATTATCCCTTTTCGTGGTTTGTTAAGAATTAGATTTTCCGGATACTTAAGGATTAACTATGTGATTTTTTGCAGATGGTAGCTCGTTGTGTCGGTCCGGATGCCGGATACATTTCAACTTCAGCCTGTGTATTAGCTGCTGCGTTGTCGTTACTCAATGATGCTGATAAACTTCCACAAGGGTTGGTTTTTTTAATGTAAACCAAAAAGATGGCCACTATCAAGTAGATTTAAAAGGAAATACAATATCTCCTCTTCATGCTACACTTCTCTAAATCGGACGCAACTCACGTAACCAGTGTCACGAAATATTTCGAAGCAACTGGTTGCTTCGAAATATTTCATCACTTCAAAAAAGGAATATCTTTTGGAGTTCACACTTAGTATATATAATTTGAACTGTTTTTGACCTTTTTTGGTTTTACAAATCTAATTTCGCCGGTCTGAATTTTTGTGTAGCCAGGCGATTGGAATCAGAATATTTTGCAGAGGTGTATACACATCAGCGGCAGCATTCAAAGACACAGGGATCTATGATCGTCTCGAAAGATATGGTGTTCGATTTGAAATTGTTGACGAGCTTCATTGATTCATTTTTATGTATTTTTTCAACTTATTTGTTATCATTATATCATTTGTTCATCAATATTTTTTTACTCTTTTTCGATGTTAAACCGTTAAAACTGATCAACGCCGTGTCAAATTAAAGGAATATTATAGATCAAAAGTAATTGGATAGATAGTGCAAATTTGAATGAAATAGTTCAAATTGTTTTAAACCCAATTTAAACTATTTCATGCAAATATGAAACTTGAAGCATAAAGAAGGTGAATTGGTCTTGATGTTTCGACAGACAATATTAAGATAATCGAACATCTTGCTTAGATTTGAATATTTTCTCAGATTAGTCTCAATATATTAGATAAATCTTAGAATTCAAAAAAAAACATTATCTCTTAAACAAAAAAACATTATCTCAGATTATCCCAATTTATAACTATCCCTTAATCTTAATCAGTGGAGTAAATTCTGTTAACTGTCAGATAAACTATTCCGTGTTATTTCTATCAGTCAGTTAAACCGCTAGCCGTAAACTGGTCCCATATGAGTTCTTCGGTTTTTTTTTTTTTATCAGGAACCTTAATGATTTTATGTTTAAAACATGTTTTTGACTAGATGCTAACTATTCACAAATTCTTTTCGGATCACGAGTTTGCAGCTCAAAGCATGATCCATGATAGACGCGTGGACGTAGGAATGGAAACAAATCCTCGATGACTGAATTTAGTAAGCACGCCTGTATCCCACGTAAACATTGTGAGATGACTGGAAGGTCCTGCTTGAAACCGCATTTTTGTAACCCTTAAGATGAAAGTGTCTAGAGATGAAATGAAATTTGATTTATTTGTTTATAGATGAGATGGAATAATCTGGTTATTAAAGGATTTTCGTTTTTTCAATTGAATTAATATGTGTCCTGAAGAGATTCTAAGTAGTCTCAGTAATATAAATTCTTTGCAGATAAGTTTCTAACTACATTTACCTTTAGAAGTTTAAGTAATAAAATTGTAATTCACTTACAGCTTTTAAGCTCGTCTGGATCTTTTAGACGACCTTTTTCATTAATCATTTCTACTGCTGGTGCACACTTTGTGCCCGGTACACGTGAACCGCTCACTCCTAGAATTTTGAATGATATTAAAATTTATTTTATTGGGATGAATGACATGAAAATCGTGCTGAATATTAATTTCATTGAAACAATTCATTTGCAACTGATGTTGAAAATCAATCGAACTAAAAAAGAGGCAGGAGGGACACTAACTTTTTGGGTCGAGCATAGTATCAACTTTTCCTTTAAACTGATCTCTTGGACGCGAATCAAAAAAATTTATCTAAAAAAAATTGAAATCGTAAAAATTCCAGTGCATTAGTTAAGAGAAAGAAGTTGTGTCATAAACACTGCACAGAGATGACTGTGATAAAGATGTTAAATCAACTATCTAATCACCGTGATCATCTATCTAACACCTAAGATTAGGTAAAAAATCTCCTTAAAAACTAAGACTGTTCTTCTGCTACTAAGAAATTTTCTTGGAAAAGTTCTTTTTAAACCTGATCGGCTTTGTCAAACATGTTCATTCCATTAGAATCCTTCTCGATAAGCTGTTCATATGTTATAATGTAATCTGGACAAAGGTCTGCTCTCCAGTTACCTGGCTTTAATGTAGTATTTGGATCTCTTAAATTTAAAAAAAATGCTTTTCATAATAAATATTCCAGCAGTAGTTTTCATTGTAGAAATGGAACTGTTTTCTGGATTTCTTTAAGTAGTAAATTTCGCTTTAATGGAATTCAATTCATTTCACCACAGTAAATTTCACTCACAGTGACTTCCTGTATTTCTCCAGTAATTTCACCGCCATCATCTTCCCATGCTGTTAAACCACCATCTAAGACAGAAACAGCTCCATGACCATAGTACTGCAAAAAAAAACTGCATGGAGATCTCAACCTACAAGTATATAAAACATCACGTTAATGAAGAAAGCAGACTATATCAATAATTATTCATATAATTTCTGATGATGACGATAATCAATAACAAACAATAACATTCGGTAACAATTTTGTAAAAATAATTAAAAATATTAATAGTGGTTATTGCATAGAGCAAAAGAAATGAAATATTATGCGGTCTATAGATTATTGTTCTCAAACACTTCCATTTCTCAGTAAGCTTTGACTCAGACCTTAAATAGCCAGGAAATGCGACATGGAACCATCATGCCAGCAATGCGCTGCCTACCATATAAGACGATATGGTCCGATCGACTGATACCCAATAAGCGAGCATATTTCTGAAATATTTCTGGTGGATACATGGCATACGGTTCATAAAGACCAGGATAGGTAGCTATGTTAAGATCCATATGGACTGCTTGTGGGATGTGCTTTTCCAAATAGTCGCGATACTGTCTGAAATCAGAAACTGAAATATTATAAGAATATATATACTACATATGTCTTAGTTGATGCCATTCAAAATATTCAATTCTATTGATTCAGTACTTCGTATTTATTCCCATCATTTCCTCGAACCTTCCATATTTAGTTTTCATGAAATCATCATAATTTCGCAATTGAAAGTCTACTCCACAGTCCAATAATCGATAACCACCACCATTTTTGAAGCTACCTTTCTGAAATAAACCATTTAATTGATAAATAAGGTAGTAATTTCTTATTTTCTAAAACTTTTGATTGCTTCCTGATAATACCTTTAGAAGGTCAGCAACCACTGATGTATTAATAAAATTTTTTAGTTTCATCTTGCACTCTTACTTCTTGAAAGAGACATGAATTAGAGATGATTTGGAGTCCTGCAAACATGATCATGACAGTTTAAAAAAAAACATAGGAACAAGCTGAATATATCGTAAATCACACTGGTCTAAACAAACATATGTGTGGTTCGTACAATTACTAATCACCTTTCTCCTCACCTAGATGGACAACAGCTTCACCTATATCATGACGTTCGTGTTAGCAACGCATAACTGATTCCTACGTAAATTCGGTATAGTCATAACGCAATTTTAAAGGTTTTTAAAGGAAATTTTTAAATTTAAAAGCATTTTAAAGAAATTTCATATAAAACGGTTAAATTTAGAGGTTCATACATTGTTAAAAACGGTTAATATGAAAGGAAATGGAAACGTAAAGGAAGAACGAAAATTAGAACTTTGTAAACGTGAACCATCGAAATGATTTATATGTGCGGAATGGTGATACTGTGTACAAAGACGACGAGAGATGTTTGTGCAGAAAACGATGATCAAAGCAGCAGTGGCACTGATGACGACATAGACGTTAATTATGTTGAGTATGTGTTATGTGCACTCCTTTTAATTATTGTCCATTTATAGCAAGAAATCCGGAAATCCTACATGTCACACTCGCAACTGTGCAAATAGTTGTTCGTGCTAATTAATAAATCATGTCCAGTTCTCGGTATTATATATTATTATTAATTAGTTTTTTGACAATATTTATTAATTTTCATTTAAAAATATCACAGAACAACTTGCATAATAGTCGATTTTAACGAAATCAGTATTTTAGAATCGTAAAATGATAGAGTGATAAGTGATTGGCCTAATAAGATATGATTGAAGTGTTTCACAATACTGGTGAAAAACTTTCTTATCTTTCCCCGCTTGCAGTAGTGAAGTGTTTCGCCGTTAAAATGTTAATTTTACTAATTATTGCTGTTCTTATTTTTGAAAACATCCAAGTTCAAATGTCTAATTTTGACGAATGACTTTGGATATCGCACATATAGCGTATTATGTTCTTGTCTATATTTACTCTTTAGCAACAGTATGTGATGTACAACAAAAACCATTTTATAATGTTAATAACTGTAAAGTGACATGATGTTGCCTTTGAATTTGCTAATCATTTTGCGCCAAATATCAATGTTGTAGCAAATACTGTTCAAAGCACTTATGAGATGAGAACTTTTTGTTTTCAGGTCAACAATTCATATTTCTGAGGATATTTATCTCATTCCTAAATCCATTTCAAAGCATATGTAGCATTCTAATGTCATATCACAAAACCATCTTCGTGATTTCTCAGCTTTTCTTCACTGAGAGATCTTCGCATATGTGAAGGACTAATCGCAAAATCTTTCTTGAAAGAAGCTTAGAAATTTTAGAAATGACAATGGCAATGTACAGTACTTGTGCGTACCCGTCAATATCACTATGATATATATAAAATTATAGGAGCCTTCATTCAACAGTTTTACTGGAATTAAGAACTTCAGCACTTTAATATGCTGGAAATGAAAAAACACGACGCAACCAAATTAGAAACACTTAATAAATCAGTTACTGTTATAACGGAAATTGCAAATAAAACACGAGCCAGACGTAGATGATGTCAGTTCCGAAAAATGCAAAAAGTTTTGCTGTTGCAACAAGCATAGTGAAACGAACGAAGGATGAAGCTAGGTAAATACATCAGTTTTATTCATAAAGCTGGTGAAGATTCAAATTTTACCAGTAACAATAGCAAATGCAAGTCGCAAGTAAGACTGGTGATATACTTTTTTATATATTGATATCAACAAGCTCAGAATATCAAATGAATTCAATATTGGTGCTGTGGGAACATATGCTGATTATCCATTGAAGATTTTTAAAACTGTTGGCAAAGTTGTACTTTTTTTTTGACTAGTTTTCACCTTTTTTTTAAATAAATTCGATGCTCCACAATTGCAGATATTTTACTTACAAAGTAAATTATATGTATTTGACTCGTAGAAGAAATATAATCTCCCTAATAGTATCCCATGGCCTAAAGATCAAGTCACTTCCGCAAGTGCGCCCTTGTTTTTGTTAGAATATCGCAAGAGGAAGTACTGAGAAATTGTTTTATGTATAAATAAAATGAGGTGATCAAGGACAATAATTAAGTAGCTAAGATGTTCACAGTGATCAAGATGACCATTCTATCGATTACAATTCTAATAGCGATCCGAGAACAATTTAAGTTTTCAGGTTTCTAAATAATTGCGCAAAAACTACTGTGAGAACACTCTCCACAGCATCTGAATTATCACTACATCAATGGATTATTCAAATGGAAAAAGCATGCAAACTATAGTGATTGTAATTTAGATCTCCATAAACAGTCCGATTTACGAAATTACCAGTGGGACAAATAATTTCGTTTGTAAATTATCATAACAATGAATCTTAGTCGACGAAACTATCTCTACTATTTCCTGAAATTTCCGGAAGCAAGAAAAAGTGTGATAAAAGAACCATCGTTAACACATCCGCTTACTGAAGAAGATCGTAAAGTGAGAGGCAGATAGATGTTCTCTCTTCCGACATTAGCCACTCATTCCAGTATTTTTGGTCTGAAGCGAAAGGAATACACAGACGCGTTATGCAACTGGATGATTGCCGTTATCACTTATCAGCATTGGCGCTCTTTATCGTAATAAGCTATTTTAAGCTGTTGCATCAACCATCAAAGCAATTTCATTAGGTACGAAGTAATAAGTAGTAGCTAATGAGAAATATCTTGAAATCCTCTCAAATATAATATCATATCTAATAATAGCAACATTACTCTTTTAACTATTGATAGGCTCAACATTTAATCTTAAGTTTCATTGAAATCTGAAAAATCAAAAACTTTCATATAGATGGATAAACATTGGCAGTTTAACAGCACACTCTCAAGTTGCTATAAAAGTTTCTAGGCGGTAACCACTAGTTATTGTTTAGGAAATTGTTAGTGGTGAATAGGAGTTGAAAAGCATGCGATGTTAGATTCATGGCTTAAACAAGAGTCATTTAATGTTTATGTTTATTCGCAGGTACGGATGAGAAAATTGAATTCAATTAACATGAAAGTTTCTGTTTATTAGTTCAATTTTAAATGAAATATTTTACTAGAATTAATCGATCTTCTGAATTAGAGTTGTTACTATCGACTTGTTTATCATCCAAAGACGTAATGAAAAAGATGCTGCAAATTCATAAAGACATTTGTCGCAATTCAACAATAAATTTCGATTTTACGGTGTATCAATCAGTAACTTAAAAACTGCTTATCGATTATTAGAATAATTTTTTCCGATTTTTTTTAGTTGTTGCAAATGGTGATTGTAATGACAGTAGTGGTAATGTGCTCATTGAGAAAGGGTGAAGAGAAAAATTTAACAAAAGCTTCGAAAATTGTTTCCATGCCTGAAGTAAATCAAAAAACTTACCTCAAAAGTAGTAAATAGTTTGAGGGAATTAAAAATTAATAAAAGCTGAGTCGAGTGAATACACAAGAAATGGTATGAAAGTTTTTTTATTTCGACAACAAATTTGAGTAACTGAAATTTTTCATTCTTAAAGAATAACAAAATATAATGAAAAATGGAAAAGTATAGGTACGGAAGTTCAAATTAGACTTGTCCGAGAAACAGCAGCAAGAAGTGGATGTAGATTTGGATGCACAGTTAGACGATATTGGGTGTGAGACACCAGCAGCACCGGAAGGAACGCCAGAAGTGGTTTCCACCGATGCTCTGCAGGTCGTCGTTCAAATCTTTTTGAATTTTTGACGCTTCTTCGATTCCTTTGCAATCATTGAAGAATATTATGTATCTGCTCGCTTCGCATTATCTCAGTTACCTCCTTTTGATATCTTTTGCAAGTGGTGTGGACCGACCTTTCTTCTTTCTCATTTCTAATAAATAGAACAAGATTGAAGAGACGTTTCAGCTTGTTTTTCAAATGACCATGATCCAAGGTCATTAACACAAGGCCATAATTCATCACAACAACTTTTAAGAGTTAAATCTTATGACTAAAAGCTATTTAATATTAGTGATAAAACAGGCGATAATCTGTTCCTCTGACTTCCTCGACTCAATATATTTCTGGTTTCTCTGAAGTTTCCGCTATATACATGTCATTGTAGAATGATGAATTGCAATCTTCAATTTGCAACTTTTAATTTGTTTACTCTTCCAGCATCTTTTCTTCTTTTCTGTGTCTGCAATTAACAACGAATAGCAGAGAATGGTGGCCAAAAAACATGCCAAGTTGCAAAACTACTTTTAGAAAACTAAACGAAAAGATGAAGGATATAAAGAAGAAGCGAAAAAAGAAGAATCAACACAAAGCAGTTTGAAAAAGCGCAGGAAACCAAGAAGAAGCATACACAGCCAATCAGGCTCGAAAATTACAAAAGAATTGAAAGAGAAGCAGTGGGAACAATCTACTGGAGAAAATGAAGTATTGTTTTAGTGTCATATCGTCATCTGAGGACAGCAAACAGAAAGAAATAGGATTATATTTAAGTTTGTTCAGAGTACTTGCGGTAATGTCCCACAAATGCCGTTTGTAATAATTTTGATCAGTAAATGAGCGGACATATATACACATTGATTCATCCTTATTATATAATTAAGCTGCAGTATGAAAGATCATTTAATTGTATTTGCTGCACAAGATAATACTAATTTTTTGAATAGAGTGTCAAACCAGCAATTCAAATAGATCAGAATAAGCCGAGAACCAATCCAACACAGACAGAAGCCTCAAAATCGATCAAAATATGATATAACCTGTACATGTATGCTATGCTAATTTCCACTGTTCATGTTAAATTTGATGAATGAATCCAAATGCTGTGACAATCATAACTTTTGTTTTATCCTTTTTTAGAATTTTATTTACGTTTACAATAGATAGCCATATAAAATCTGAATTAAAATTGCTTCATGTAGAAGTACCAGTATTATTAGTTTGTTGCTAGTTGCTTATACTTGTTTAAATTATCTATATTGCTTCAGCTCACTTTAGCTATTAATATATGAAAATTTCACTGAGGAAAAATTCATATTCAAGCTGGACTTAGCATTTTTATATTAAACGCGCAGTTCTGCAACAATTATTCTAAATAGCATTGCAGGACAAAAACGTTTTTCACAATGCATGAATAGCTACTAAGGGATTACATAACAATATTGTGATTAGTTTAAAAGATTTGAAGTCCAGCCGTGAGCTGGCGGATAATAGTATTTAAGTAGGCTTTAAATTAATCGTGATGCTTAAAGTAATATTTTTTAAATTTGTCAAAATATTATTACGTAATCCTTTACTTTTATTTGAACAATCCTGAAGCTTTCAAGCAACAGATCTTCACCACTTCATTAATTATCAGCAATAAATTTTTCATAAAGTCATAAGTGATAAAGTTCTAAAAAATTGTCAACACTGCAGTTCCTGCATAAGAATTCAGAAGCTAGAAGACAGAACCAGATGTCTGAGAAACCGAAATAAATTTGTGTTAAATCCACAAGACTAAAGATTGTTTTGTTTGAATAAACCTTAAATAAGTGTTTGAATTAAGAAATTCTTATCCAACATTCATGTGCATTGTTTGTAACTTTACCGTCTGTCAACAAAAATATGTTTACTGTTAAGATTTTCCAGCCTAAAAGGCCAAACTCGCACTTGGCTACCAACATACTTGTTAACAGTTGTCAGTTCTTTATTCGACTAACGGATTTTCTTCAAACCAAATCTACTTGCAATGTCTAAAAATTGTAGAGGCCTTCCAATCCGACATTTACTTTTATGAGTAACTGATATAATGTTAAAGTGAAACTCTTACTGATAAACAGTGCAGATCATTCGATTGAAACAGCTCTCTTTACTCACAGTAATGCTACCTTTGTTTACTTACAGTAATGATACCTTTGTTTACTCACAATAATGATACCTTTGTTGTAAACCAGCCTACTCCATGACAAACGGTAGCTTTATTTTCGCGATCAATGTTCCGCGACATATGCGCTCTCTCTTTTCCACATTTACTTCCTCAATTCCTCTAATATTGTTTCATATAGATCAGTCGTATCTTTATCTCAGTAAAATTGGTTTCAAACATCGCCTTTTTTGCAAAGTACTACTATTTGGCTCTAAAAAATGCTCCACTCAGACCTTATGTCACGACACCAGGTACCTTCAGAAATTATCAAAGTGATATCACTAATCCTTTTCGTATATATCAAAATCAAGTGATTATAATCAACTAGAATAATGTCCATCCAATTACTTAGGAAGTTTTTTCCTTCTAGCAGTAATTAGTGTCAATCACTATTTAATAGAAACTGGAAGTTTTGATAAATTGCTTTATTAATCATCGATGATACGACATGAAGTTATTTGAAATGGCGTATAAACTTAACTTGTATAACCAAGCAAACTCTATGGTCATTTTGTGATGTCGGCTCACTTTCAATCAATGCTGCAAATAGTGCCCCCTGGATAACATAAAAGCATTCCTTCTTACGGAAATGGAACACGTACCAATTTTGGTTAACTCTATTTTTCTCTCAACCATTCATCTCAGATCATTGCTATTCCTATCTTCCATTTCAGGCATTGTTTCAGTTTGCCTTGATAATTTCACAGCAGGTTAGAAATCAAATATTGTCAAGTTTTTTAGATGAGAGATCATTTAACAAATAGGGAAGTTACTGATTTGCATGATGCAAAAGAATCTGATGTTGCATTCGTTAGTGATGTGATCGCTGCTAAACTACTTTAAATTCTGCAGAAAGAAATATGTAGAATGTCCCATGGAACGACGAAATTACTTGGAATATTTGATCTGTTAATAAACAAATTGGTATGAAAGTTTAGGAACATTTTTAAAAAATGAGAAAACTAATTAATTTCGTCATTTATAAGAAGAATTGTTTTATTGTTATGAAATTCTTTTTTGTAAGGAAAACCATTATATAATATCACAGCCACTAAAGTTATTGCGACTTCAAACTTCAACTGAATACTATCTACTGTTGGCGACGAGGTGAAAATGACATTTGCAATAACAATTACCGCAAAGATACCATCTGATTTCTGTTTGAATGCATAAATTCATGTGCCAAAACAGAAAGTAAGGATTTCTCTAGTCCACTAAATTGCTCAATTTTTTGGTACAGAAATGAAAGGATAGAAGTGTAAACAATGATGCTATACAATAACGGTTTCATATTGAGCAACTGATGCTGATTCCAATGATTTCCTTTCTGGTATTGCCTTTGATAACGACATCTTTTTCACGCACAAATGAGCAGGCGTACGTAAATACTGCTTAAAATATGTCTGAAAAAACCAAAATTGAATTTCTTGAACTACGTAGTCTACAGTCGAATTTTAATTAAACTCAAACTCAAAGGAAGTTAAGTTACCTGCTCTGCATCAAAATCAATTTTTATAGGAGGCAGTGAATATTTAGGATGAAGATAATCGCTTAGTGGTGGTGATCGAACGTTGTATGATGAATACCTCCTGTCCAGCTTTTCCGTTGATTCAAAAATTCGATGTGCACATTCTACTGATAATCTAAAAAGCACCAACACTCCACAAATGTGAAACTGGAATGTAGAAATCAAGTCTAATAAGTTGAAAACTGACGAGCTAGAAATGGTGGATTCAACATCGCCATATTTGGTGCTCCGCCTTGGTGACTTCACGGCGCAAAACGGAATTTCCTTCCTCGGATGAAACATCATTGGTATCAGAGTACACCATCCCATGAAGAATACGATTAGTAGAACAGTGTAAATGAACAGCACTGATATTGTAATTAAAAGCAGCATACAAACGTTGATAACCCTAATGACATCCCTGCCATCCAACCATATGTTTGGTTCTGATCTTCTTACAATACCAATATTGTTATTTCTTAATTCACTGAAATGAACGTTTGTTTCGTTACGTACTTAATGATCACCTATCGATATCGCTTAGATCAGTCGGTATTTTTAAAGGACCTTCATCAAAAATATATATCACGAGACATGCAAGTTCTTTTTAATAAATGAAATTAAATTTAGTATACCATACAGTGAAGAAAAAAGCTGTTTATTCAACAAAGAATAGATAAGTGTGAACAAATTTCGCTACACAGACACATTCCTGACAGATTAGAGATAAAAAGCTCAAATTACTTTTTCAATCCCATAATCAGTGAGAAGATAACTTCTCTGCATCAACAAACAAATACTACTTATGTTGACATTTATTCATTCTTCATTTCTTTGCCATCCATCGTAATACTAGCTGTTTCTAGAGAAAACAAGTATTTGTACTTTTAATAAGAATTCATACATGCAAGTGGAAATGATGTTTTGATTAAAAAACATTCTAACAATTAATGAGGAATTCGGAATTAAATTTGGCAAGAATACTCATTACCACCTGTTATCTGCTAGCTGAAAGGAAAAGTATAGCTTGAATTCTTCCCTTACTATCAGTTCGTTTTTCAGTTAAAGAAGTTTCACTTACAAAAAGATGGTTAATGTAAACTGATAACGATTATTGGGGCCAGTGTTAGTATCTAAAAAGATATTGATTAAAACAATACAATCGTGATTAGCAAAGTGCTACATCTCTGTTATTGTCATGAAAGGAATTTACATTTCAATCGTTTCATGAAAAACATTGAAGAATAAACGAATGATTACTGCTTGTAGTTTGCTTACGTTGAAAAGTACTTGATCTAATACTGTCATGAATGTTTCTCATTAAATAAATCTCCTTGACAATTATTATTAATTCGTAGAATGGGAAGAATATCCACCTTTTTCTTATTTCGTCAGGTTATTATTTTTTTTTTTCGTACCAAATAAAGGATATTATCATACGGATGGGATTTTTCTCGGAAAAACTAAAATCAGTGAACAAGAAAAAAGCGGACAAACGATGGAAATATGAGAAAAGAAGGAATGGAGAAGTTGAAAACGAAGATCGCAACAGCGGTAACTGTTCCACTGTTATATCGACGCACCAGATTTTGAATTCTCACTTTTATTTCCTAATTGTTGGCTTAGTCTTGAACTTTAAAATAAGACTTAGAAAGTAGTAACCTTCATCTTTTTCCCCAGAAATAATTTCTTATCAGGTAACTGCACTGAATTACTGCCAATGCTGATAGAGAAAAAGATAATTAATAAGCATTTATGAGAATGTTTGAAAACGTTTAAAAATTTATGTAATCTAAAACAACTGTGATATATGCAAGTAAACTTTTCCACTTATTTATTTATTTGAAATGAAATTTGAAATGGCAGAAATTATTACAAAAATTCAATATGATAGTCAGAACATTTTACAGGGTTAAAAAAAATACTATAATAAGAAAATTTTGGTAAAAGAATTTCATTTATTTGATATTCCTCATTTTATTATCATTGATTATATCACCATGTAGACAATTTCTCTCCAATTAT